AAAAGTTCACAACCCACACATACACCCCAATCAATGAGCCTGCGGCAGCTATCAGCATCACTTCTCCCCCAGGACCCGCGGAAGAACTCGCAGCCAATTCGTCCGCTGCATCAGACCGCAAACACTGGACAACCTTGCTTCTCAACCCGTAGACCCGGAGGATGAAGTGCAATGCATAACCGGAACCCCAAGCCTTCTGAACCGCATCTCTGAACCTTCACCCGTGGGTGCTAAAATTAATTACTGCCTTTTGGTGCGTCCATGGCGGGGTTTTTGGTTTAGAGTTTACGGTTTAGGGTCTGTAGTCAGCGGGTATCTGGTTCGTCTTACAGAGGCTCCTTTCGGTTTTAAGCCCCATCGTGGCTCCAGGGAGCTTCTCCGTCTGTAGCAGTTGTTGTAGCTTCCTTTCCCACCGCAAAGCAAATGGACGCAGCTTCGCATCATCTGTTATTTGGTACCTGAACACCGCAGTGCGGTCAAATATTTGTTCCTATTAAACGGCAGTCCCAAGCATGAGCGAGCAACACCTACCGCCTTCCAGCAGGATTCAACGGTCAGCAAGGCGTAAAAATGCTATATGGACCAAAAGCCATTCAACATTGTACTTTAGCGGATGACGCTGAAGTACTATATGACACTTCGGACCCTTAACAAATTCAGTAATAAGGCGGTAACACAAACAAGCTGTGCATGGTTACTCTTGAGACGCTTAAACCCACTACTATACTCTTCGTATTGCCTAAAAACTCTGGAAACCCTTGGGGACTCCGCTAGAGTGTTGAACAACGCTTCGCAATACGCAAAAACTCACGCTACTAAACTTGGCGTCTAACGCAATGCAGCATCAAGCACTACAATTGAACATTGACAACCGTCGGTGCCTAGTGCCGTTCAGCACCTAGCACGCTAGGACAGTTTCAACTCTTCGAAGCAGCAGGCAACACCACTCCGCGCTAAGAGGGAGCACAAACATCACCAAATATTATCAAGCGGCACCTGACAGAACTTAAAAGATTTACGGCCCGAAGTGCATGAGCTATGTAGTGTTCGCCATTTGCAATAAAGGCTAGAACAGCGCGAGTGCAAATGGTGTCGAGCTGAGCACTATCGAGTGGTGGCCCAGCACTGGAGTGGCGCAAGGAGAGGCGTTGCATATGAAGTTAAGCCTTGCACAGATCTTCTAACACTAAAACCAAGCCGAAGTTCATTGCAAGCTGAACGGCATCATAGAACACTTTGTTTTAGTCGTTGTCGGGGTTCATGTTTGAGTGTGGGAGGAAACAATAGGTGAGCAAAGTGAGCTGAGACTTTAACTAACACAGGGAGATGCAGCACACAGGTAAAGTATGTATGTGAGGGTCAGTGTCGTGGCCGCTCTCTGGTTGCAATAGTATCCATTCAAGCCAGAGGATTCCTTCCTGCCCTCAGATTCTAGGGGTTAGACTTCAGGATTTGCAGAGTGGGATCACTTGCCTGAGGGACAGGGCTGCAGTTGCAGTGGCGTAGCGGCCTGAAGGCGTCAGACGAAGGCCTCGAGTTGAGAGAAGCATATCTGTAGGGAAGCCTCGAGCCAGAAGAAAGGAGGTGTGAAGTGGGTATTCCACCATACTTCCGAACTCCCTGCGCAAATCAAAATACGAAAGTGCTAAAACCATGTTGAAATGTTACGTAGTAACTAGAGGAGATGAGTAATAAGGAGCCGCAATCGCGTTGATAGTGCGGGAGTGATCCATACAGGAAGGAGTGCCGATTGGCAGATGAACAAGGGCAAAAAAGGGGCTCCGTTTTGTAAAGGAAGACTAAAAGGATATTTTAGCTGTAAGGCAGAGTCGGTGACGCGAAGCTTCAACAGCCAGAGAACAGATGGAGGGTTAAACG